TTTCGGGGATTTGCGCGTGCGTGGTGGGGATGGTGGTGGGGTTATGGGTTGCGTGGTCACGTGGTGGTCACGTGATCTTATAAACTGGAAGTTACGTCATCAGATGCGCGTATGAGGTTCGTAAATCCTCTATAATTTGTATAACATGAAGTATTAGCCTAGTGGCCCAGAACCGGCGTTTTCCTACTACTCGTAACTATTCCTGCGCAAACCGCATTGAAAAAATCCTACATCCTAAGCTTCTTGCTGAAACCAAACATGGATAAAAATCTTAAAAAATCGTTCTTCTTGTAGATCATGCTGGCCCATAAACAGGAATTTCTCGCTTAAAATATCAACATTTCACCCACTGAAATTACGCAGAGAATATCTATTTTAGATAGCGATTGCGCCAAATTTAATGACGGGTTGGACCGATGACGTCAGCAGATTTAAAACTACGTTTTTGGCACAATCTTCATGTAATGCTATATTTTATTATACGCCGATATACCATGAAGTTGACCTAAGAAATATAACAACTTCTAAGTGGCAATACGATGTGAATCTTCTATATTTAAAGTGCCTATATACGAGAATTTTATATGATTGAATTGCAAAGTTCATTTGAAATCATAATGTAACTTGATATTTGTGGTGTTACTCTGAGTATATATCCACACTGGGCGAGCTTGAAAAATATGCCCGGCCACGGTGGGATTCGAACCTACGACCTTTGGAATACTAGCCCAATGCCCTTCCAACTAAGCTACGCGGTCAGGACGGTTCGAGTAAGTGATATTTCGGAACAGAAACTAGTTCCTTCAATACCAATGGTTTCTATTAATATGAATTTTTTGTGTTGTTGTAGTGTACTCAGGTGAATATGATATTTGTGGTGTTACTCTGATAATATCATGATTGCAGGTATTCCCTTTGTTCTCGCAGGGCAATTAATAACTAATACACCTCATTATATTCATTTTTTCTAATCCTACCCGCTTTTACGTCATGTCAGGTAGAATTAGTTCTAATCCTACCCGAAACGACGTCAAAGAGGGTACGATTAGAAAAAATGAATATAAATGAAGATATCTGAAATCGCCAAAACTAAACAAAGACAGGGAAAACAATTATACCATTTAATTTATACCAATATTTATTTTTAATTGGTTTTTAATGGCCCTGCCAGAACAACGGGAATACCCGCAATCATGATATTATAAGGTAATAGCATAAAAAGAAGCGAATTAGCTATTGAAACGTCCCGCCCGATGAGGGTCGTTCAGTATAATTCCCTTGGGCGCCGCTCGATGAGGGTCATTTAGTACTTATAAGTATATATCCACACCGGGCGAGCTTGAAAAATATGCCCGGCCACGGTGGGATTCGAACCTACGACCTTTGGAATACTAGCCCAATGCTCTTCCAACTGAGCTACGCG